TGCGACTGCGGATCTGTATTGTTAGTCAATGTGATCTTAATCTGATGTTTTAGACTTTGAAATGGATGATATCAGCGCATTTGTGCGCCTCTTACTTGAGAATGCTGCTGCAGCCCAAGCTGCGAGCAATTCAGCAGCGACTCAATCGCGGCCTTCGGCCAGTACAGATGTCAAAAGCGAGACTGTCAGTGCAGGCGAATCCTCAGCTAAACCCACTGGTAAGCATTAATTTAGAATTTTTTGTTGCTTGTATCGTAACGACCTGCTACCTATAACCCAAACACTTTTCGGTGTAAGTCCCGCCCTGCCTAACTTCCCTACTAATAGGTAGGTCTTCCTCAAATTATTGCTGTTGATCAGATCGGGTTATAAAAGATAATTTTTGACTTTCTATCCGTTTGTGACGAGGAGCGGGAAGTAGTAAAGACTTTACAAGAGAGACTAAATAGTTTCAACAGCTTTGTGAAGAAGCTCATTGTTCTAGAGGCATTAGAGAATTCTTTGACTCTTATGTTCTGACTATCAAAAGAACTTTCTAAAGAACTTTCTACAAGCTGAAGCGCATATAGGATTTAATACGAAAAGCTTTGCTGCTTTGATTTATATGCTCTACGCTTTCTAGATTCCATCGTTAAGACTGGCATCTGAGTGGTAAATGTAGCCTTCATTCAATTGACTGCTCTCAAAGAGCATCTAATGAATGATTTTGCGTGCATGAGTTCTTTGAAGAAAGTTGCGACCGCTAAGTCTAATTTCAATCTCTATTTGTAATGTCTACTTATAGTCGATAAGGTTCCACTCTGTGAGCTGGTAACAATTTTGTTGATTTTTGTTAACAATATTGACGAATACCAAAAACTATACATTGGTAAATTGGTAACACCTGGAGTCATTATTGACAGGCTATGGTTGACCTTCTAATTGGTGAACCATTTTTTGTTGCCTTTTCGCCCTTAACGTTTTCGCGTTCAATTTACCACCTACGTTGAAATAACAATCTATCATTTTGTTTTTTGCATGCCTTGTCCTGCGACTGATATGATTTTGCAAACAACTTTGGGCAGACATAAGTTGAGTTAATGTTCGAAATCAGGTCAATACTTCACTACTTAGTCATCCTTCCATTCTTCTGGACTTTGTAAATGACCTAGCTTTCTGTCTGGGGTTTTTTGGAGTAGGGCTCAGACTGAGGCTGCTTCCAGATCCTATGGGCACACCACGTTGCGGCGAATGCATTGGTTGTTTCCGTGCTGAAGATTGTGGTAAATGCGACGGCTGTGCTGCCGGAACACAGTGTTTGAAGCGAAAATGCGTTCAAGAAGCGATTCTGCTACAAAAAGCTCAGAAAGGTATCTATCTCTGAAAATATTTATTTATCTCCGAAAATATTGAGTTTTTCCTTATTGTATCCTTATTGAAGCAACGCAAAAGACTGCACAACGAAAGGACACAACGGAGGTTCAGAAGAAAGAAGTTAAACAAGAAGGTATTTTTTCTATTACACAGATAGCACTAAAGATCATGCGTTTTTAACCGTTACTCGCGTTGTGTACGAAGCTGCGCGGGCAATCAGAATTTACACAATTAGGGTACTAGTGCAGCCTTTAATTGGTATTGGAATGTGATTCGTAGTAAAATCAATCATGTCTGAATTTACAGCAGCAGCTGCGGTGCCGAGACGTGGCCCAGGTCGGCCAAGGAAAGATGGACATGCAAATGTAAGTCCTTTTATGCCGATTTATAGCACTACCACCTGAAATGTTCTAAACATCTGGCGAGATCCGAAAAGAATGTGCGTCAGATTTCCTGGTTCTCTAGAGCAGTATGCGTGAAAGTTCTTAGGCCTGGGAAGTGGCATCGCTCCATAACGAGAGACCGCAGGTCCGCTCTCGCCTCGTAGAACCAGGGCACCCCTCCCCTTGCAGCAGGGATTTTGCATACGGGTTTTAGTGGCTCCTGGGTAACCGCCTTTTTCGACCGCACGCATCTGAAGGTTATACGGTAAACGACCGGCCGGACCCAAGTTCCGACTCATTTCAACCGAAACATGGCTTCTGGTGCGAACTATTTATGGTACAAACTTTACCAGCAGTGTCCAAGAAAGGTGGGGCTTGTGGAATTCCTCTGTCATGCAAAAGTGGACAGCCTCGGACACGCATCGTTTTCGAGGCCGTTGCGTCAGACCAGAACCAAGATTACAATGTAAAATCAAAAATCTATGTCTTAATAGGGGAGAAGGGTCAGCTTGCGGTTACCCTCCCCTGCTGCCGAGTGCGCCAGTGCCGCCACATAGTGCGCACATGCCTAAACAATTAAATCTTAGGGTCCTATAGCGAATATACTTCACAGCCTTGGCGGGAATCTTTTCAGTCCTACGTCCGACTTTTGAACGGGGCCTTAGGCTGGGTCCATACTGATCCGTAAGTTCCGGAACAGTTAGCACAGCGCTCGAAATGTGCGCTATGCTGGAACTTTCTGGAACTGACGGATCAGCATGAACCCGCCTTATGGCATGTTCTTGTCGTCACTCTTAGTTTTATTTTGGATTCAGGTAACGAATAAACCTAGGTAGATGTAAAATCTGAAAATTTGGTTTTTGGCTGGATAGTGAAGTAGTAGATTTACAAAGACCTTTCACATCCATCGAAAAGGGGTAGAGGTATTATCATGTCTCGACCATATATTTTCCAATGAAGACCATTTCTATGCTATGGTTACTACATGCTTCCCAACTTCAGACCATTTTGACTGTTTAGGCACGAAGTGGCGGAAATTCGCATATCAACGGCGACAAGGAGATGACTGAACGCAGTAAGCATTCTTCATTTATGATCGGCTTATGTAGGCTCGCTGTCTCTCTAGTTTAGTCGAACTGCAGTAGAGTAATCCTCAAAGTTGATCATCAGCAGTTATACTTTTCCACTCAACTTGATGCCATCTAGCTGTGTCTTTTTTAGAACCTGCTCGTCGCTCCAATGCCCGAGCGCCCACTTCTAGAAGAAAGCATGATGCACCGAAGAAGGTGGGATGTTTATCTCAAGGACTTTCATGTCTCGAGAAGATTTCCAACTAATTTGATAAAAGAAGTTCTGGGTTCTTTTCCAAGTCGTCTTGGATTTATTTTAAGTTAAGCTCCGAGTTTTCAGGTTGAACCTCGTCAGTGTATAGAACCCGACTGCACAAAACAAGCTCGCGATAATAGCAAGTATTGTAGTGATGAATGCGGAATAAAGTTAGCTAAGGTCAGCCTTTGCTAACTGGATTGGCGTTTTCATTACAATCGGATTTTTATCATTTTAGCGTCGACTTCTTACCTTATTACCGCAAAAAGTTGAGGAATACTATAGAGAACAGCCAGAATCGGAGGTAACTGAGAAACATATAATTCATATTCTACATATTGATTTTTCAGCGCCGCACACTTGAAGAATTACGCGCGATTGATCAGAAGATTGGACAGATCCAGAAGCAAACAGATACCATGCTTAATTACGTGCGAATTATCCAGAAATATGTGACGGTGAGATTTATCAGACATTTTTGCTGAAACAATGCCCCAAATGGTTTTCAAGGCCATGAAATCAACAACTTCTGTAAGCTACGATGAACCTGGAGATGTTGATTTTGTAAGTTGCTCCAGTATATTTGGTAAAAGCGCCCTTTATGAAAACATGTCTGCAGATGGTGAATTGTACTGTGTGCGGAATGGAAACCAATGGGCGCCAACTTCCGAAACATGTTGAGCGGTGTTTCGTGCGAACGGAAAAACAGACATCGTTCGGAACGCCCACTCCCGTTGGTTCTTATGAACTCTTTGAGTTTGACAAATCTTCATTGAAATGCAAAGCTTCTAGGCTGCCTTCAACCCAGACAATCTTTTCTGCGAAGCATACAACAAAGCGAATAATACATACTGCAAAAGAGTGCGGGTAATCTGTGCTGAACATTACAAAGGAGAGTTGGAAAATGAACTGCAGGTAGGCTTTTTTTCCATGAATTACTGCATTTATTTTCCAAAGTCAGATTTGTGCATATCCAAAAGCATGGGCAGAAGGAAAGTCCATGACATTTGCCGAGATGTTCGAACACGGCCCCGATCTATTGAGAGATCAAGGATTCTGCTGCGCACCTAGGAAGGAATGTGCACAGCATCATCGATGGGTACAGGTAAGAGTGGTTATGGCTGCATCGATTGCTGAATCTAATTCACTAACCAGTTGTCTATTTCGTCCTTTAGGCTCTTGTTGGAACAATCGAGTGCGAGAGAATGAACCTT